AAGAAGCCAGGTTTTTGGGACAGTTTGGTGATAAAGCAGAATGTTCCATCTAGGAAACCAGATGAGATTGAGGGATGGGAACCACCACAGATTACCACTGCTGATTCTACCAGTGATGCAGCAACTCCTTTAAGTGACTATACAGCCTGGTCAGGCTGGGAAGATGAAACCAAAGGCTCCACAAAATACACAAACCTGGCCAGCTCAGGAAACAGTTCCAGGTGGAGTATCAAATCAGCTGGAAAGCTGGTTAGTATTAGACGTCAAAGCAAAGGTAACCTTACTGACAACTGGGAAGAGCTAGAATGATACTGGTAGTGTGAAATACTTTATATGTAAGAAGAAAACAGTTCCATGATTTACTCACATGTTTAAACCAAAATCAAATCTGCTCAATATTGCACCTTTATACAGTACTTTGTTTTATTCAGATTGTTACAAATTTTTGCTCACCTGATAGTAAATTTTCTTATTACATTGTTAATAGCTATGTTTTCCACACTGAAAAAAAAGTAGAGAATCTATTTTGTGCCTATATTTCACATTCAGACTCCACAGTATGCCAGATTGTTGGTTTTACCAAAAAAAAATGTAATTCCTTAGTGAATGTATACACTGGTTGTAAATTTGACTGCCTTATGAAGGAACTTCCACTAGCTTGAGGTCCTGCTTCTTTTCTTGTATTTGAGAGCCATTCAGAATTTTAGTTTTGATGCTGTCCTTTTTTAACTAAGAATACCAATATGTCGCTTGCAGGGAGAGTTCTTGTACTGTTTTCCAAATCTTCAGCCTCAGCATATGCTTCAGCTTGTGCATACAAGATGCTTACTGTCACATTGTGCTGTACTCTGTGTGACATGGGAAAATACATTCTGATGTAATTCCTGCCATTACAGGATTGTCACCCACAGTTGGGTCAAATGGGCCTTCCAGAGTTGGGGACTTTTTGTGTCTTGGATACTTTTTTTTCCAGTGGGGTTTTGTTGTTGTTGTTGTTTGTTGTATTTTGGTTTTGTTGGATTGTTTGTTTTTTTAATATTGAACTTTTTTTGACAAAGCTAAGTTTCTCAGTTTTTAAGATACATATTATGCCAAAAATAGAAATGATTGAAAATTTGGAAAACAGGATTGAGTAAAGAGTAAAATGATCTCATTATTCTGGAGGAATATTGAATCTGGATTTAAGATTAAGTTGCTTCTTATGGAAGGGCTTATGTTTTCCTTTTTTTACAACAGCTGATCCTTGTTTTACAGAAGCTTTTAAATCTTTTTTGGTTTTGACTGTGTTTTTCCTTCCTTCCCACTGCATAAGCAATGATTGAATTATACTCTGGCATTTTCAGGGTAGCTGAGTAACTGAGCCATTGCAAGTATGTGCATGTACACAACTTCTGAAGCATTTTTGTTGAAAAGTTCCATCTTGTTAGCTACTGATACTTTGATTTTTTGGTAAAAGAAGGTGAAATGTTAAACTTGAGATTTGAAATGTATATATGACTAATAAAAGTGCCTCTTTTTAGTATGTTGTCTGTCACTAGTGGTGCAGCTGATGTCAGATCCAAAGTTTCTGTTTTGTTTATGTGACCCACACAAAGACTACTTTAACATTCATGAATAAAAATCAAACCAAAAGTTCCATGCGGAATGAACAGTAGGCCTTTTCTCTCCTGATTGTTAAACTGGTGTAACAGAACTGAAACTTGACTGTCTAGCAATATGGCCAGTGCAGTCAGAAGATGAAGCTAGCATGTTAGAGAAAATCAGCATTTTTACAAGAAAGTACAGATCTTTATATAACAGATGTCTTGTAAACATATTTTTGCAAGAAGCTTATGCTGATGAAAAGGGATGCATGCAATTTTTTTCTAAGCTTGTTTCTGTTATGCCACATTACTCCTCCCTTAGCTCTCTTTCTCTTCTCTCCTCCAATTAATGTAGAGTTTTCTGGCTTGCAGTTCCTGCATAGATTTTTTTGGAGATTCCTGCTGAGATGTGCCTGGAGGGAAACTGTAGCAAAATGGTTTTAGTTGGTTGGGTTTTTTTCCCCAATATAGATAGGATGCTGAAAGGCATTGTTCTTGAGTTTACAAAAAAGAATGGTGATGTTTTGTGCAACAAAAAAGAATCTTGCAACTGACAAATATACTTGTAAAGTTTGCATTAGATATTAAAAAGTATTTACAGAGGAGAAAAGGTTAGGATTTATATTGCATTGTTTAGTCTGTGAGTAAACTCTGTTTTTACCTTGGGCAAGTATGTATGCTGAGGTTATTTATAGGAATGAATTAGTATTCTTGGGTAAAGTATGCTGCATTTTATAGTTTATGGAGTACCCTCTAAGGCATGAGCTAGTATTTAATTTGGTTGTTGGTGCTGATCTGAAAGTACAGTAAAAGGTCTGTTAGCAGCCCTTAATATTTTGCTCTCAAAGATTAACTGAGGACTTTTAATTTCCCTCCTGAAGAAACTATTTATACTGTGATCAGTAAGGGTTTTGCCTTGCACATTATACTGTCAAGTGCCTGTTTCTCACCTTGATGATGTGTTTGATGCACAGCTTAACTGCAACCTTTTTCAATTTGTTTTTAGATGTATGATAGAAAATATGCTCACAAATCTGAAGCCTATTATAAAACAAAAGTGGGAAATTGAGACATGTAAAATTCCACTTTCATTCCTAGTGATAAAAGTTTTGGTGTGCTTTTTAAGTGATATTTCATCATAAATAACCATTTTAAGGATCAACATTATTAAATTTAATATAATTTATTGTTATGCTTTAATAATGTATTTGTCTGTCGAGAACTCACTGGTGTGAGCTTTCCTTCTCTCATGTTTATAAATGTGTCTGAATTTTCAGAATGGGGTCCTTTCATCTTTTACCTTTATTAGATGCTTAACTACATTAAATGTTGAGAGCTTAAGCTATACACAGCTCCATATGTGGAATAAGTGTAGAATATGTCCCTTAATATTTGTTTTGAAATTGCTTTTCAATCTGTGTGAAGTGTTTTAGAAGAAGGTAGCATTATGATTGTATGATAAGATTGCACAAAATAAAACATAGTTTCTATTGCTTTCTCATAGCCAATATGCATGATTGTTGGCGTGGTTTTAACGGGAATTAAAAGCTTTGCGTGGCTGTTACTTAGTCACTTAGCTCTGAGCAAAGTTCTTTCTGAATATTTTTATTTATTAGCATCATTTGCAAAAAGAAAAGTAGTATTTTCCATATGAATAAAGATTTAGTTTGAACTGAAGCACTTTATTCTTTGACTTTTTTTGGTCCTATTTTCTTTATTTTCTATTCACATGTTATTCATGTGAATATGTTTACATTTGCTTGGACAGTTTTGGCCATCACACTATGAGAAAGAACATTAAACTATTTTAAAGTGTCCAAAGGAAGGCAATAAAGAAGGTGAAGGCCTTGAGGGGAAGCCATGTGAGGAGGGGCTGAGGGCACTTGGTCTGTTCAGCCTGGAGGAGACTGAGGGGAGACCTCACTGCAGTTACAGCTTCTTGTGAGGGGAGGAGGAGGGGCAGGCACTGATCTCTTCTCTGTGGTGACAGTGACTCACCCAGAGGGTGGTTGGACACTGGAACAGGCTCCCCAGGGAAGTGGTCACAGCACCAAGCCTGACAGAGCTCAAGAAGTGTTTGGACAGTGCTCTGAGGCACAGGTGTGACTCTTGGGGACAGTTCTATTCAGGGACAGGAGATGGGCTCAGTGAGCCTTGTGGGTCCCTTCCAACTCACCTGATTCTGTGATTCTGTGATGTTACTTTCATCATTGTAGAGCATGGCCAAGGAAGTGAGAGCAGTGTTTGCCCAAACATTCTGTGAACCGTGCCATCTTGGAACTTGCAGCATCCTAGATTTAAAGCATCACACACTGCTTTTACAGTGGCAAGAATTCATTGGTTTTAACAAACTAAAATATTTTGCTTTATTGGTATTTTTTGGTTTAAAATGTTGTGGGTTTTGTTGGGGATTTTTAACGTATTGGCTGTTGTGAAAGCTTGGGCAGAGCAGCTTTCACCAGCTGTGTGTAGAGTGGAGGACCTGAAATGCTTTTGCACCTGCACGGCCTGGCCTGTGACACATGAGGAGCAGCCACTGCTTCCAGTGGAGCAGCTGCAGAAGGAAGTTTATTGCCAGTCTCTCTCGTTCTTCCACTCCAGTCTGCTGGCTTTGTGGCTGTCTACACAGACTTAGCCAGGAACATATAGGCAAGATGTTTCTTGCCATAGTGCATGAAATAGCTAAACTAGAAAATTTCATTCATAAAAGTTATATTCTTAGTGGGGGAAAAAAGGCTGTATTGAGATGCCTCTGACTAGGCACAGGTGGGTCAGATGCACAGCTAGGCAGGTGAAAGGCAGCAGAAGGACCTGCATTTCCTGAGCAGACCAAGACCCTGTTGAATTTTGAGCATAGATATTCCTATTGCCCAGGTGAATTCAGTGTGGCATCTGTATCAATTTCTGAAACTTTTCAAAATGCTTGTTATTGTATGGGAATCTTGGATGACAAAACTGTAGGTTGTGTGCAATCTGAAAACACGAATGTGCACGTTATTTAGCTGTTTCTTGCATATCCAAACTGTTAGTGCTAATTTGGGTTGGTTTGGTTGATTCTTTTCCTCCGAGTGCCTGCTACTTTGTTTCTGATGCATCTGGGAAATAAAACCAGTACTGTGAAGAAGAAAAGTAATTTCCTAAAAGGATTATCACCACTGCCAGTTGGCAAAGGTGTGCATCATTAGATACTGCCAGTCTCAAAAATTTCTTGTAGCATGACTGGTTTGTACCATACAAGATAAGGAATCAAACATACAGGCCAAAAAGACAGTTTAGAAATCAAAATGAGAGAATTGTATTTATTGTATGTACCACCAGCATCATAACAAAAAATAATGCTGCTTCTATAGTTACAAAGAAATAAAGAGTATGAAAACAATAAGAAAAAAAGAGGAATATAAATAATAGATATTTATATTAAATATATAATAGTAAACAAAGTGTAGGGACGCAGTGGTTTCTTACATGGTTATTTACCAACTGCTATCACTGGTAATGGAAAAAAAAGCAACTACTCTGTACTTGGGAAGATTTTTTTTCCTATTCTGTGTCTAGCAGTTACTGAAAGATGCAAGAAAGAGTATTCTTTTTGAAGCCATAACAATTTGGTAAGAGCTTGGCTGGCATTTAATTTTTTACACTTTTGAGACCCAAATAACACTAATGGAAATTTAATAACACCTTTTGAACTGTGAGTTTGCTATTGGAAAAGAAAAACATTCTTTGCATAGAAAAGTGTGTTTTCTGATCTTGGTTTTCCACTTCTGAAAATAATTATGTGATATTTTGCTTTCTAGTCCAGCCCCTTGTACTGAGGAGACTGAACAGTTAAGCAATTTTTCAGAGAATTGGCTGCTTTAATTATTTGAGATTATAGTAAAGATTTTATAGTATAGAGATTATAGTATAGATTGTAAAATACATCAGATTTGATACAGAAATATTCCTATAAATTAGCAATGCCTTTTGACCTTTTTATCTTGTACATTTTTCCTTGAAGCCCCCATATGCTGTGGTCTTGAGCATCTTGTTTGTCCAGGAGTCTTGGATTCTCTACAAGGTTACACTGCTAAATTCTTCCGGTATTTGAGGGATGGAAGAAACACTGTGTGGTGTGTGTGTGTTTGTGCTGGAGAAAGGAGGGGAGACCAATGTATCCTGACACCAAGTACGTGGCAGATTATTTTTTTTTCTCCTAAAGCTTTCTAATATGCAAGATAATTAATAGTAATTATTCTTTGATTTGTTTTATTTTTGTCCTTGTAGTCTGCTAGCTTTTTAGGAGGGTTGTCACACATGCAAAGACATCCTGATTACATGAAGACCCACTCCTTGGTGTTTTTCTCATGACAAACACCCCTCTTTTGGGCTGAAATGCCTGCAGTTTAGGTAGTGCCTGTAAGCAGTTTATCTTCTGAACATTTGGACAGAAACTTGGCAATCAACATTTGATTTGACAAAAAAAGGAAAACCAGTCAAGCATCACTTCCCATTAGGAAGTAAACCATTGTTTGATAGGATGGAGCACAAGATTCCCAGAAGTCATACTACAGATAGGAGTAAATCTGCACATAGGGTTATTTTGAAAGTTAGACACTTAATGAAAAAGATACATGCTCTTTTTTTTTTTATTTTGTAAACTAACCCTGAAGTGCAGTAGCCCATCTGCCCAGCACAGCTGCCTCAGTGCTCCCTGCCCGAGAGCAGGTGTGACCTGACCAAACCACTGTGGCCAGGGTGAGCAGCAGCTGAGGCCATGGTGCAAGATCTGAGCTCCTGAGCTGTGCTGGGAGGTCTGGATGCACTGGGCACAGGGAGAGGGGTTGCAAGACTAGGGAAGGAGCTGATGTTCTGGAATCGAGGAATGAAGCACACTATAAAAAGAAGTAAGAAGTCCAGAACATCTGGGAATGTTCCTACAGCTGTTAGTACCAATATTTACTATTAGGTCAGGGTTTTGGTATTAGAGAATCAGAGCTAACATATCTATTCCTTTTTCCTGGTGTTTTTTCATGATGTTCCTATTCAAGACCAGGACTTTTGGCCTTTGATGAACAGCTGAAAAGACCATCCCTTGTGCACAGGTACAAACACTGTTTGTTTGTAGTGATGCTGCTCTTCAACTTGCAGCAAACTCTTGTCCAGCTCTATTCCATACTACTATGCCTATAAATTAGACTTAGTTGATGAAAAATGTAGAAGGTGAGTGCAGGTAGCAGAAGAAACATTGTATCAGCAGAAGGCCCATGGGCAGCTTGCAGCAAGAGTTTAAGTGGCAGTGGGATTAATCCACTGAAGTAGAGGGGCTGAACTAGGCCATGGAGCAATGCCCATCCTGATTAGAAGTGGTCTCACTTCTGCCCAGTGGCTGCTTAAACATGGTCAGGCTTTTGTGTAAGAGCAGGGGAAGGGCACAGAGGGCACAGATCGGGCCGTGCACTGTGGAGCTGTGCAAGGAAAAATAGCAGCCTGGGACATGTGACTGCAGGAGCTGCTGCATTATAGTCAAGCACATCTGGTTCTAGTGAAAATGCTGCCAAAGTCTTGCTTTTATAGATTCACCAAGTTCTAAAGGGATACTATTAAGTTCAGAAGGGGAGTGCAGCTCTGCAGCTTTAAAAGTTTACAGTAGGAAACTGTTACAGGAGGGCTAAAAATAATGTCTGTGTCTAAGAGAAAAATGGGAACCAAAACATTGGGAAGAGGTGCTCTCAGCGTGCAGAACTTTTTTCTGTATCTGAGCATTATGTTATGTGGGAATGATAACTGACTTTAGCAAAAAAAAAATCCTTTCATTATTGTTTTGCTATAAATACTACAGAAAAATATGATTCAAATGGGAAGAGCATATAAAGATCAAGTAAGTAAATTTTAGAATTAAGTGGTGGCTGTTGGTGGAGCCTTGAAAATTGTTAGAAAAACTTTCAGCTGAAGGCACAATGACTATAAAGTGCAACAAATATAAAACTGAACATGTTTTATTCATATTTGTAGAAGAATGTACACATAAACCTGCAGGAAATAAGCAATACCAGCATGTCTGACAGGTAGAGGGACAGGTCTGTGTGTGGCACAGAGGATGGCCATGGGAATTGAATGGAAGAAAACCACCCTTACTCTCACGTCTCATGTTCTGATCCACTTTTCTGTCATGTCCTTAAATAGAGACATTTTAAGCATTAAAGGTCACCCTCATCCTACTGAACTTCATAGGAATTTTTGCTGGGAATTATGTTCTAGTTACTCTGAGGAGTTGGACCTGAGCCTTGGAGATGGAAGTATAAAAATACTGCAAGTGACTAGCATAATTAGCTAATGTTTCAATATTCTGAACTCTAATTTACCAAATGTCCCCAAACATTTGATACTGATTTAATGCAGATATCTATCTCTGCCAATTCAACCAACTTTAGTTGGATATTAAGTGTCTAGCCTTCCTCTTAAGTTCTTTGCCAATGATGGAGCTGTAAATATGCTAATTTGTGTACCACGAAATCCAAAATGTTGTTCTACTGTTCCCCATCCCATCCTTTCGTTCTTGCTCAGCCCTCATTGCTTCTGCCTTCCAGACTGCAGAAAGCCACTGGTCTTTCAGTGCTAATCCTAGTGGAGAACTCTTGCTTTGAGCTTGGTGTTTTCTTGAAGTTCTGCTTCTTCCTTCTCCTAAAGCAACTTAATTAATTTCTCAAGGATGGGCAACAGGGAGAAAGAAAGAGCAAGGTCCCACTCCTCTGTTATTTCCAGATAAGAGTCCCAGTCCTGTCTGACATCCAAGGAGAAAAGCTCACACAGTGCTCTTGGAGAAGGTCCATGGCAGAGTTTTCCCAGAAACAGGTGAACAAAACTGTTGGGAGAGTATGTAATAAAAAAGGCCAGGAGTCTCTCAGAGAAGGGTTTGGGAGGCAGTGACTGGGAAGGGAGTGGGGAGAGCTTGGTCTTCAAAATTGTAATTGCAAGCTCTTGTGGACTACAGCAGGGAACGTCCAGATTGCCTTTGAACTGGTATTCTCAGGACCAACAGACCAACACAAAAAACCAAACACTACCAACACTATTACTGAAATCACTGCCTTAGCTTTTTTACTTATGTAACACAATTGAAAGTTACCTTCTTACGCATCTGGTGACACAGTCACTCTCAATCAAGCTCTTATTTGCCTAGTCTAAGCAATGTATTCAGAAAATACTTAACAAGTTTGTGGAACTTTTTCCCAAAGCTCAGTTTTGCAAGTGTTAAAAGCTTTTAACACTGCTCATGACAATATGATTCCACATACAGTGTTTAAGATTTTTAAAAAAAGTACCCTGAACTGGAATACTCAGCATCTCTAGGCACATTTCTTCTCCTGACTATTTTTTCTTTTCTTTTCTTAATCCAGAATAAATGTTTAAAGAGCTACCACAGTGGCTTTGGGTGGTCCAAGTTGCACACGAGTCAAGCAAGGTTAGTGTGCTACATGGACCTACTGCAGGGACTCAAGTGAAGGGTCAGAAAGATGATAAAAGTGTAAAGAAAAGGAGATGACTGGAGCATCTGTCCTGTGAGAAAAAGCTGAATTGGAACTGTTCAATCTGGAGAAGATAAGGCTCAGAAGATAAGACTCATCATCTAGCAGTACCTGAAGGGAGGGTAGGAGAAGGGAGCCAGGCTCCTGACAGTGTAAAGGACCAGAGGCAAGAAGCACAAAGTGGAACAGAGGAGGTGTTATCTGAACATCAGGAAATGCTGTTATTGTGAGGGCAATCAAACACTAGCACAGGTTGCCCAGAGAGGCTGTAGAGTCTCCTTCCCTGGAGATAAAAAAGCCATTTGGACACAGTTCTGGACAAAGTCCTAGAGAACAAGCTCTAGCTAATTCTGCTTCAGCTGGGTCACTTCCACCCTCAATTAACCTGGGAGAATAGAATGAATAAAATGAATTGATTTTAAATACAAGGCAGAGTTCTGCTTCTTGTCATCTTAGCTCCTGCCACCTCAGCCCAATGGGACACTGTGGTACTCCTAAATGGAAATCCACACACAGGAACTTAACATATTTCAGAACTTAACCTTCAGGCTGTCAAAGGCTTTTTGTGCTACTGCAGGAAGAGCAAGATAAGTAGTGAAAGGGAAACAGAGTAAGCCTAGCTGCTGTCACCTGGCATTTCTAAGAGAACAGAAAATTATTACAGATACTAATTTTTTCCAAACTGGTCTTAAGATGGCTTATAAGACCTTCAAGTCATTTCTCTCCCTCCTCAATTCAGTGGCTAGGAGAGAGGTTTCTTCTCAGCTCTCAAGACCTTTTTCCAGCTGCCACCTTATTTGTCTTTTCAGCACTGGGCAGCTCTCAGGTCACAGTGTAAGAGCTTTGCTCTCTGTCTGCAGGAGAGATGGTTCTGCACAGTTCCTCAGCAGAGACCTTCAGCACAAGGGGGAAGAGCTCACAGCAGCATTAAACCAAATACTGGCTTTAAAACCTTTCTTTCAAGCTCTCAGAGACAGCATCCATGTATTTACAGGAAGTTTTATGCAGGACAGCAAAACTGCAGCCATGGTAAAGGAGCGATTAGTGGATGTCAGCCATCACCAGCTACTGTCAGGGTTACAAAGGTCATAAAGACAGGAAAGCATCTGAGCTGTTACAGGAATTAAATAAATGGGATACAAATTGTTGTTAAAGGACTGCTGGGTCCTTAACAAATCCAGTGGCTACAGCAGTGCTTGGCTGAGAAAGCAAGGCTTGCAGCAATACTCTGAATGAACAGGAATAAGAATGGAGGTCCTGGGATCCACACCTGAACTGAAAGAAAAAAAATCCACAAAACCCTATATTGAAAAAGCCACAAAAATCAGCAATTCAATTCAATCACCAAGATTCAAGTTAACATAAAACTATTTCTTGAGGACATAAATATTCTCTTCTTGTGTAGCCAAAAAACAGCCTAGCTCTGCTATTACAAAAAGGCCTAATACAACAAACTACTGTAAAGCAATAGCACTAGGACTCCTTATATGCTTCTCATTCCATTACCAATATTATAGAGGACATGTTACAGAGAGATCTTACAAGATTCAAATTGATTCACCTCTATGCACCAGAGGCTTATAGGAATAACAGATAAAAACATGATTTATTACACTGTACAAACTGGATTCAGAACAAGCAAGTGCAGAATATGGTACATGATTTATTTTTTCTGTACATTACATATTGTTAAATTTCATTGACAAATCCAAAACTTCCATAATTTTTCCTTTACCTGCTTAAGCCAAGCAATTTATTTTTTTTTTCTACAGGATAGAACAAAACAGCTTCCTGGAAAATTTATGAACTGATTAACTTGGCAGAAGATGCTCCAGCTCAGACTGACTTTCAGTGTTTCTCATAGCCTGTCAGGTTAGAACCTCAGTTGGCAGCATAGTGTTCTGCCACTGTACCAGTCTAGAAACAAGCAACTACATTCTCATTAAATTTCAATAATGTCTTCTTCTTAGAAGATGAATTAATGCAGTTGCACTTGTAGACATTCCAAACAGTATAAATGAAGGCTGTAGCTACCATCAGAAAGAATTCCAGTAGCCCCAGATTGGTCTCACGAGTTCTGCAAGATGTGCTAAGATAGATTAAATGCTTAATAAAGTTCTTAAGAAAAATAAATATTTTTGCATAATGTATGTACAAAAATTGGTTGATTTCCTTCATTCATACGGGTTCAACAGCAGATATAACTTCAGTTATATTTTACTCACTAGCTCATAATAGATAATGCCACCTTCATTATGATGTAGTAAGAGTCTAAGAGAATATTGACCTATTCTTTATAATAGTGCAAATTATATGGAGGTGTTTTGAAAACCATGGCTTATAGAAAGAAGGATTAACAAAAAAACCCTCCTTTGGTCCCTGCAAGAGTAGTTTAATTCCTCCATGAAATTTTCAAAACTCCCCTACATAATTTTAACCAACTATTAAGGCGTCAAAAGCATGGATTTAAAGTTGAGATTAAAGTGATCTTTCTTGGACTTGAAAAAAAGTCCACTGGAGATTTCCTGACAATGAAATTTTCTTAATGTTTCTCCTTTCTTCCTCTCTATTCTGCACAAAAGCAATATGCCAAGTGAACCTCTCTGATAATCTCCTCCATTATTTTTTTTAAACCACAATAAAACATTACACTTAAATATATTGCACAAAAAGCATAACATATCCTGCCTGACTCTTCACAAAAATGGCCACAAACACAGGAGAACAGCTACTGAACATCTCAAAATTTGAAGAGATCAATGAAATGCTGAGGAGATACTGGCATGAGACAGGTGTTTGGATCGCTGGCAGTGCAGGGGTGTCCTGTATCCTGAAAAATGAAGGAGAGAAAAAAGTTAGCTCTCTTTCCATATTCAGTCTTCCTTCACCCCCAAATTAGGAAAAAAAAATACCAAAAAGCAAACAAAAAACAACAACAACCAAATCAAACCAAAAGCAATTCACTCCTACCAATACCAGAACCTGAGTTGGAGACCTTGAAAAAGTATCATCTTCCTTATCCATTATTTTTCAATAAGCATAATAAAAAGGCACCTGCTTTGTTGAACCTAAATTATGTTTAATCAAAACCTGAAGTCATAGCTCTTGCCCTAGGGGAAAATGAGTCCCTTGCTTTGAAAATTATGGACAGCAGATACCTCCTCAAAAAACCTGAACAGTGTTTGAATTCCCAGTCTTTGCATCTTGCTATGTTTTCCCCCTTGTTTTAATTTTTTCTTTCACTCCTAGCTTTTCCCCAAGTGAAATGGAAGCACTGTCTTAAAAGAAAAGATGGCACCTAGGCAAGGTAGGAATAGAGAAGTTAGACTGGTGGAAAGGCTTTGTCATTACCAATTCACTAAGCCTGCAGTGCTTTCTTTCCTCTTACGGAAATTTGACCTCAGCAGAACTGTCTGATTAAAGATTGAAATTCCTCTTTGAACAAAAAGTTCTTTTTTCCATCTTATTAAAGCCTCCTAAATGAGGGAAATGCAGAGGTGCAATGAGAAGAAATTCAATGGACATGTTAAAGAACTTGTCAATGTTGTAAGGCCCAGAAGTGTTTAAGGCTTTAAGGAGTTTCTGTCCAATGCTGGTGAACACACCATATGAGGCAAGAAAACTAGATAAATACATGACAAATAGGTCTTTACATGACTACTATGGACTTCACTGCTTTTGTTTCCATAGGAAGTGAAGTTACATGCAATGAAGTTAATAAAAGGAAAGAATCTCCAAGTGATTTTTTTTCCTCACTGCCATATTCCCACCGAAAGTCTCTGCAGCACCAAAGTGCACCAGGTGAAACACATTCTAAATACTGCTCAGCTTTTCCAGTGAAAATTGTTACTTGACAGATTCATTATCTGTGTTTTTCCATTAAGTCCATGGAGGAATACAAGAATATATCAGGTGGTATTCCCTCCTCTTCCTCCCACTCTTTTTAATAATTGCTTTAACATCACCCGAGAAACAGTTGTTAGATTCATGACACAGAGGGAAAGACAAATACACACATAAAAAAGAAACCCAGGTAGAACTGTCTATTGGGGAAATCTGCATATGAGAAAGAACAGGTGACCAAGACCAAAACCAGAAGTGTTACACTTAACACCGTCATCTTGAGATGACATCTGCAAGGAAGAGCTGAACCACACCAGAAAACACTCTTAAAGGCAGTTGCTAATGGATTATTATCTTCTCTACCCATTGCCATGTCAATGTCATGTCATTACTTTCCTAGTTTCCAGTAAAAACCACCATCAGAATTATAATTCTGGGAAACAAGGTAAGGTTTATCCTCTTTTAGTACTTATTTGTACTCCTGAATATTTTAGACTGAGTTTGTAACATTCTGCTTTCTCTGTACATCATTATCAAAACACTTTTGAAAGTTCTACACAGTTGGGAATTACAGGTGCAATAAAAATCTCCGAGATCCGTTATTGGTGTTTTTATTAATTGAAAACCACATAAATTTTACAGTGAAGAAAGTGATGAGGACTGAAAAGAAGAATCACAACTTTCTTGTAATTATGAGTATTCCTCATTTCAAGAGAAATACATTTTCATTGGAATTACATTTAATAAAGTGTTAAAATAATTTGATTTCAATGTTTCAAAGCTAAAGCTGACTTATTTCAAAGTAAGAAGAGAATTCCCCAGGAGAAGTGTTTACTGGCAAATGTAGTAGTTTTCCTCAAAATTTAGCATAGCTAGATATTAAGAAGCTCTGTTTAAGTATTTTCATCATTTCTTCATTCAGAAGACAACAATATAATTGCTTCCCTTGACTATCCCAAGTCACATGCAGCCTGTTTTGGGGAATTAATTTTCAGAGAAATTCTCCATAAAAATTAAATATGACTACAGCATTCCAAGTGCAATAAAATCAATTTTGGTACCTTTGTATGAAAGTTATCTGAGGTTCATGTTACTCTTCAGATTTAAGTATCAAATTAAATACATCAGGGAATGCTGAAAACAGTTTATAACAACACTGAGCACAGAGAAACCTATTTCTTAGCAAAATCTGTCTGATCTCACTGACACCTATGCTCATTAGAAATTGATTTATGGCTCCTAGTTTAAATGGCTTTAAGAAGGATTATGGCAGTAAGAAAATATGAAATAATAAAATATATTATATAATATAATAAAATATGTATTATATATTATATATATATTATTTATTATAATGTTATATATAATATGATAAAAGACAAAATGATGAAAAACTGATATGGGATGTCATCACTATCTTTACCTAAAAGGGAACAAGAAACAAACTATTCCTGCCACTAAATTGATGTGCAGAAACAAAAATCAAAACAAACAGCACCAGATGATTAGAAAGGAACACATTATTCACTTTGACATTATGGAACAATCAGCAATGAAAACAGGTGAGACACAGGAAATACCTGGAGTAACAAAGCAAGGTGGTAGTCCTTTGAGATCGCGAAGAAGGAAGCAGGAAGGAGAGCCATAAGGTAAAAGAAGCAGAGTTAAGGTTTATTTAAGAAAAGGTTCATAAGCCATTTAGAAAAAGTCTTTTATTCTTGTGGTGAATACAAGCAGCTTTGTGAGAACCAAAATTGGCACAAGTCGCAAGAAGACCAAAACCAAGTGTTATGCGAAGTGATTACACTGTTTTCATAAAGCCCTGGAAACCGGAAGAAGAAAAGGCATTTCAGCTTCTGTAGCCATATCTGAGGTAACTGAAAAGCGCTACTCAGTAAGCTAAGGAAAATAAAAGAACCTGCCACAACTGCAATGGTGCCTAGTGGAACAGAAGAAATAGTATAGAGAAGGCACTCACAGAGGCATCACACAATAATTAGTCATTACTTCTGCACTACTGAAATTATGGGGTTTTATCAGTTTCATCATGGACAAATCCTTTAGCAAGAAGTCATTTTGAAAACAGATGTTCAATAAGAAAATTTTCTTACAACTCCCTCCTAACATGTAAGAGTACAAAAGTCACTGTACTTCCTAGAAAGAACTTAGGAGACTCCTATGTGCTATATACAAATTTCTTAGGTTACAGATTTTAGACAAGTACAGGAATACAAATGCCTCTTCCTAAAAACTCCTAAAGGCTTGTTAAAAACCCACTATGAGTATTACACCATATGAAAAAGTGAAAAGTCATTCCCCTACTTTAACAGTTCAACAGATTACTCAATTCATCAGCCATCAGTCCCTTCTTTTGCAAGGCCTTCTTTGAAAAGAACACAAAACAGAGAGCTCCAAGAATTTCCTGTGTGTAGCCCTCTCACATTGTCAGCAATTACATTATATTATCAATTTCATAAATTGCTGAAAATTCTCACCTCTAGCTAGGCACGTGCTTTTGGGCTATTTCAGATCCTCATGGCTTTGGTTCTTAGAAACTCCTAACTCTCAGGACGCTTACTCAAAACTACAATTTACTTGCATCAAGGACTTCCCTCAGTGTAAATAGTTTCCCTAAGCAGTCTCATGCTTATGCACCACTTCTCTGTCTCCAAAAACAATTTATATAGAGAGCAGTCACGTTCCTTTTTAGCTTTAACACAGCTGGGTTAAGAGAAATTAATCATTCCTAGTCTTCTTCATGCCCTGATCACTTTAGCACATTTTTCTTTGCTTTGTTTTGCTTTGTTCTTTAATGAAGCAAGAAAAATAAAAATAGATGCCTTAGGAAGAAGCGTTCAGATTCTGCCTGAAGTTCTTCTGAATGACCTTGGAAACAAAAGTTGCCCGACATCTAAATTGTACCATTAAAACAAGAAACAAAATTTTTACATATTATCAGCTATCTAAAGAATACAGTGCTTCCATTTGTTTCAAGATTGAAACACTTGCCACTTTTCCTCTGTAAAGTGACTGTGATTTCTCTTTTAAAATTAGGATTTGGTGATAGTGTTTTTGTTAGCTTTTTGCTTTATTTTGGGGTTTTCTTGCTATGCATTACAGATATAATTGCATGTCAAGTACACATATACATATTTAGTTTAACAACCTTTCAATCAAGCATGATACTGAAGATTGAATAAATTGCCAAAGCCTGAAAAAAGTTTGATTAAAGAATATTTTCACCTAGCACAGGATTTATCTAGAATTAAAAAAGTACCTCCTGTCCCTTTTGCCCCTCACCCCTGCTTTACTTCTCACCTCCCTTTAGCAAGCTTGGGAAAGAATATAGACACAAGAGTCTGAAAAAAAAAAAAGCACACTATTTTTTTTCCCCATATAGCTGAGTGACCAGCCTACTTGACCCACATTGCTCTGTAAAAGGAGAGATGGTATTTCAGATGAACAATTAACTTGTCCCTGCCAATAAGGGTTCCAATTATGCATAAATCAATTAATTTAAAAA